GATTTATTAAGCAATTATGTATTGTCTGCACTGTATTAGCAGTATATACTCTATATACTACATATAGAGTATATACTGCTAATACAGTGCAGACAATACATTTACAATTATACTAACATGAATGTATTAAATGATCTGTATGTAACCCTGTACTATGGATCATTTAACCCATTCATGTTAGCAGAGGATCATTGCAAATGTATTGTTGCAGGCACTCTATATGTACATGTACTATATACTACATATAGAGTGCACTGAACAATAGATTTACAATCATCCTCTGCTAATATGAATGGGTTAAATGATTCGTAGTACATGATATGTAGTCCTGTACCCCCTTTTCCACTTACAGAGCTATGTTATTGTTTTTCTTTTAAATAAATATTCATGTAATTTTATTGGTATCTATCTTCATTTTGTACATTTACCAGTAGCTGCCTCATTTCCCACCCTCGGCTTATACTCGAGTCAATACTTTTTCCAAGTTTTTTGTGGTAAAATTAGGTACCTCGGCTTATATTCGGGACGGCTTATACTCGAGTATATACGGTAATAGAGTAGGGAATGGTTAGAACACCTGCCTTTTTTGGCTGTATATATTCTGTGAAGGTGATTTCTCTTCACTACCTGTTCCCGAGGACATAATAGGAAGGAACAGGACATTATGCAAAACTCCCTCTTAGACAGCTAATACCAGGACAGTGTCCCAATTAATAGATCATCCCTTACCACTTGTTTCATTGAAAACTAACATTTTGGATTCCTCCTCACTTTTTGTTCGAGTGACAATGGCCACAAGGACAAAGACAGAAGAAGAATCCCTACAGTGTGAACACACAGACCAATAAGAAACTTGCATAGTCTATCCACACTGATAAACAAAAAGATTTGGCTAGAGATATGTTAGAGAAATGCATACATGTATAACATTTGTGCTTTCTTTCAGCTTCTGGTGAATGGGGCTGTGTTTGCAAGAATGTCACCTGGACAAAAATCTAGTCTAATAGAGGAATTCCAAAAACTAGAGTATGTTTTGTAATGTTTTAAATGTTGTTTTTATAAAACATATCAGCAAAAATGCATCAGCAATATTAATGGATTTGTAATGTTAGAAGTATAACAGCTGATGATTTAGAATGTTTACAAAATGGTTGTGTATGAAAATGACTGGGATTGTACCTCCTGCTTGATGCACACATGAATGCTGTGTCACCAGGGTAAGGACAAACTCAAGAACCATAAAAATTAATGATTATGAGTGAATCTTTGGCTGGTTCTTTTTCGTCTGAAACTTGCCAAGTGGGTTGCCCTGTCTGTAGCCTCCAGCCCGACATCCTTTGATCTGAAAATCAAATGAATGTCAGTGGAAAAGTGTCAATCAGACAGTGACTGTAGCCAGTCACCTACAGCCACTGTTTGGATATTCTGATAGCGGCTCATCTGCTGCTGTCAGAATACAATAGCTCGGTGGGGGGGATTTCCCCATCAACACTATTTAGCATTGTTGGTGGAATCTCATAGCATGTCCTGTCAGCCTGTGCATTGAAGAAGAAAAAAATTAGCCAGCTTAAGTGTGCTTTTCAAATTGCTTTTGAACAGGCTAACATAACATTAAAGGAGAATTATGGGGTGAGTGAAAAACACTCATCCCCATAATTCAAGCTGACCTGTGACAAAGAAGCTGACACAGGTCGGCTCTATTGAGCGGGAAGTCAGCGAACACATACTGCTGATCGCTGACTTCCCAATCCTTTCCTTGCAGAGAGTGGTGACTATTAGTAACCGCTCCACGCTAGGATTTCCCCTCTCCATTTCTCCCGCACTGACTGTAGGAAAAGACGTGGGATGGGGCCGGCCGGGTCAATCAGCCAGCGGGGTATGGTCAGGATCCGTCCAGGCTGCAGTGCGGCTCTGCACTCTCAGCATATAACGGGCAATAGCCCGCTATATGCTGAGTTTTGGGTCACTGGAGGACATTAGTATATGTCTTCCTGTGACCCTGAAGAGAACTATGGGCAAAAAAGGTTTCCCCATAGTTCTCCTTTTACTCATGTTAACATGCACTGCACAGGTGTAGTATAAACCAGCTCTGAAAATGTAAATGTGATAGGCAATGCAGGAAGAACATAAAAAAACTCACAGAGCACAGGCTTCAGGCCGTAGACCTCTACTCACCCTGAGAGATGCTATCAAGATTCTGGCTGCACTGTCTTAGGATTCATATTATGGTAAACTGAGAAAACTTTCTGACTTTAGATCATTTGTTAATCTTTTCTGGATAGAGTTAGCTCATTAAATGTTTTTTACTTTCTGTGTGAAACTGTTCTTTAAAAACATACAATAATCTTGACTTGTCAATCTCAACAGCTACTACGTGTGCATGTGTGGTGATGGTGCCAATGACTGTGGTGTAAGTATTGATGATTCTTTTTTTTTTATGAATGTTTTAAAGAAAGTTAGTAAGTTTGGACAATTTTAGACTCAGATGTTCTTACATAAGTAAGGATACAGATATCTTGAGTTCCCTCCCTACTAAATGAACAGTAATCCAGAACAAATCTGATTGCCCAATTCTGGGTTGTTTAAGTGAAAAAATCATTTCATAAACAAAATCTGGAGGATTATTGATGCAGAGAGGGAAAGAGTGTTTACTCCAATCATTTCCACAACTGACATGATGACCACAACTGTTTTCTTATGATCATTCTAAAATAAGACTACGGTCTTCTTCCAGTTGCTGGTCTTTAAACTGGAGCTCTTCAGTATTTATTTGTATTGATATTTTCTACTAATGTTTAGGCTTTTCTTACAAGCAGGATTTTCACAATAGTCTTACAAAAATATTAATAATTCATTTTACATTCCAGGCTCTAAAAGTTGCACATGCCGGCATATCACTCTCTGAGCAAGAAGCTTCTGTTGCCTCTCCATTTACTTCCCGTACTCCAAACATAGGATGCATCCCAGAACTAATCAAGTAAGTTGAGAAACTCTTCATATATGTACACTATATAATGCTTCATTTAATTGTTGAATTGTGAAACCTATTTCAAACATTCTATAGATCCTATATATGGCCCCTAACTTTATGTGAAATTATGAAACCCAGGATACTCTCATGAGCTGCACTTCCTGCCCCCCCCCTATCTATATGACATTGTATACATATGTATTTCTATAGAGAATCCATAAGCAGCAAGTGTCCCCAGCCCTTTTTAAATTATCCATTGAAAATTATTGGAAATTACCCTGCAGGGAGGGGAAACAGGAATTTCAGCACACAGCAGTACCCTGCCTGTAGGTAGGACAGGGTGTGAAGGTGAATATATTGGAGACTCAGACCCTGCTGTTTAAAAAGAATAAAAGTATATGCCTTTACGATGTGTCTGTCATGAAGCCACTCTGGCCTAATAGAAGAATCCTGTAGGGAATAGGGCAGCATTCAGGAACCACTCACCATTTAAGCAAAAAGAGGAAGAGGACCTTTGGAGTGTGTTTTTTTTCTGGGGGGGGGG